GCCTGAAACTTGGAGGGAGGCGGAGAAGCCAGGGGGGGGTGGGGGGGAAAAGGAGGGGGATCGCAGCTTCGAAAGTCTTCTTTCCTTTCCTCGTCCCACCGGCTTTTCTGGATGGCCTGAAGCCGCCGGGGAGGCGCCCCGAACGAGGGCGGGCGTGCGCTCCGGGGCTGTAGTCTCATTTGGCGAGGTCCGCCTTCGTGCGCCCTGGGCGCTTGGCGAAGTTCGCGGCGCTGGAACCGGAGCAAGAAAGAGGGAGAAGCAGGCGAGCCTTCGGCTCTGGCCGTCTCGGCGGAACCCGTCGAGGAACCCCGCTGGAGCCCCTCTCGCTTTCCAGGAGGGCTCCGACGCGCCATGCCGGGCTGATCGGATCGCCTTCGAGGACTCGCCTCTCTCCATGCCGTGAGGCGCCGACTCCCCCCGCGCCTTCCCACCGCCATGGCCGGGACGCCCGGGCGGGAGCGCTCCACGCTCTCTCCATCCCCCATCCCCGGCGGCGGTGAAGCCCAACGGGGGGAGTTCGTGGCCCTCACCGCCGTGCAGATGGAGAAGAGCGAGAGCCCCCCCGCCGCCGCCGCCACGGAAGGCAGTCCCAGGCGTCTGGGGCTTTTGGGCACCCCCTTGCCGGCTCCCCCGCGGGGCTCCGGGGCGCGATCCGCCTCGCACAAGCGCTACCGCCGCCTCCAGAACTACCTTTACAACGTGCTGGAAAGACCCCGAGGCTGGGCGTTCATCTACCACGTCTTCATGTGAGTAGCCGCTTTCCCCACGACCTCCCTTTCCCAAAGGGGGGGCGAAAGGTGCCTCCCCTGGCTTTTCCTTCTTGTGTTTTGGGGTGACCAGCGAGGAGAGAAAGAGCGGGTACCCCACTCCTATTTGACGAAGACCCCGCTTTTAAAGGTTTCCAAACGTGGAAACCCCTCTAATGGTTGCAGAATTCTGCTCCGGATTGGCGGGGAGGGGTGGTTCCTTATCTGAGGGGCTAGAAACTGGCCCGTGGGGTGCATCAGCCCCCCCGGGCCACCCTCTCTCTTAGACCCATACTCTTAATCCCCATCCAGCCAGCTCATCTATCTTTGCTTTCTCCCTCTCCGGCCTAAATGGAAAAGGGGTGCATCTTTGCATTAGGGAAGCAGCCTCAGTTCCTCAGGAGAATCTCACTTCTTGCCCGAACTTGAATCCCTCTGTCTGAGGTCCTTTCCCTCTCTCTTTGTGTCTGGCTTGTCTCTCCCTCAGTTTGGGAAGAAATTAAAGGGGGGGGGGTCGCTTTCCTCTCCCTTCTCATTATTATAAACTTAGAGAGAAATATGGGGAGGCAGGGAGGGAAGGAGGAGAGAGCCGGGCTTCAGAGCTGTCCCACCACAACCGCTCGGCTGGCCAGCAGGGAGAAGCCGGAGTTGGGCCTGTAAATCCTCAGCTGTTTCCTTTGCCAGGGTTGCCAAGGCTAAAGATGCCCCCTGGCCCAGATAGCTGGTAAACAGCTTGTTTAAGGGGGAAGTCGAGTCCTGCAGCTGGAGGCAGAGCCATCGGGGAACGGTTCGTGACAAGCAGCCCTCTGGAGACCTTAGTGGAAGCTGGTGGGTCAGCTGCGCCACTGCCAGCTTGCAGGAGCCAGAGAGGGAGGCTGCTGAACCGAAGCGCCCCCCCTTTCCAGCCTGCAAAAAACCACAGACTTTTGCAGCACCCGGAAGATGACCACGTTTGATCTGGCAGTCCAATTTCTCGGGCTGGACTTTTCCCACTGTGCTCCTCAAGAGGCCAAAGGAAACACAGTCTCAATTTTGCGATGGCCCCCTGACCTTGAGAGCCCAACAAGACTCTGTTGTGTGTGTCTTTCTTTCTTTCTTTCTTTCAAGCCCAACAAGACTCTGTTGTGTGTGTTTTTTTCTTTCTTTCTTTCCTGCAACTGATAAACCAACCCACTGCCCTGTGCAGGCCTTGAGCTAAATCTCGTGGTCGTTCTGGGTAGAGTAGACCCACTGGAACTGATAGGACTGGACTAATAAACCAACCCACTGCCCTGTGCAGGCCTTGAGCTAAATCTCGTGGTCGTTCTGGGTAGAGTAGACCCACTGGAACTGATAGGACTGGATGGGAGTCGAGTTTCAAAAGCTCCCTTCCTTTCAAAGCCTCTGATCTTGGCTGGGAAGGAATATTATTGGTTTTAACTTTGCCCTTACCCAGGCTGAGTCAGGTGCAAAGGCTGCTTCTCGAAGTGGCCTCTGGCAGTGGCCGGGTGGGTAGTGGCTTTGCAGGAGAAGAGACGGGGGGGCGAAATATTGGGAGGAAGGCTAGTGAGAACTCTTTGCTAGTGGGACAGAAGACCTGGGAAACCCTTCTTAGTTTGAGGCTGTTATGCAGGGGCTGGGCAGCAGCTTGTTAAGGACCCTTTAGGGATGGATTCCTGCCTTGATATGAGGTTAAAATGAATGATCCTTGGGGTGGTGGTGGTCCCTTCCAACCCCACAGTTCTACAATTACGTGAATTTTTGGGAGACTTAGCCCCATGAATCAATGGGAGGCAGAAGTCAAGAGACCCAAATAGAGACGCTTGGGGGGGGGGCGAGGCTTCAGCATCTTTATTTTCTGAGAAAGGATCCAGGTCTCCTTCTGTGGCCCATTTTCTCTCTCTAGCCCAGATCTTCACTTCTGTAATCCCATCCCCTTCCAACTCTGATGAATGCAAGTTGGGCTCATAGCTTGACTTTTCTCCTTTTTTCCTGGAGGGGCTGTTGCAAGGTTGGGTTTCCCGGCAGGTTTTCCAACAAATGCTTTATCGGGCACCCCACGCTCCCACCTAAAAAGAGAAAAAGCCTAAGCTAACCCATACTTTCTGCTTGTCCTCTTCGTGGGATGATTTCTTCAGAGCAAAGAATAGTAGCTTTCTGCTCTACTCTGACAAATGGGTTGTGGGTCTGCTTAAAGTCGGTTGGAAAATTCTCTCTACCTACTGCCTCGCAGCATCGTGCTGCCAAGATTTATGCTGCCCTGTAGCCTGAATCCTGTTGCTCAGTGCAGTAAATGGCACTAAAGGAGGCCTATGGAATTAGTGGGGATTTGCTGAGTAAAGATGGCTTCATGGACATTGTCTCGGTTTCCGATGGTGGAAGTGCTAGATTTAAACATTTCTTTTTGACCTACTTTCCCCATTTTGAATGCCAACCAAGAGACGCCAGCCTCCTGACTGTTTTTCACCACTGGTAGTGATGATTATTATTTAACTTTTCAAAACTTCCCTTTCTCCTTAAAAAGGACCCTAGGCGGCTCCAATAATTGAAAGACAACACTTAAAGCTGAAAACAATGACTATTAAGGATGAGTTGGGGAAGTTCATCCAATGTGTTGGGATCAAGCTTAGAGATCCAGGCGCTGGTGGGTTCCTTTTCTCTTCTTTGCGGGTTTCAAAATGTTACTGATTCCAAGCAGTGGAGTCAAGGAAGCTTAAACGTTCACTGGTGAGATGCCTCCATAGGACAGGTAAAAGGAGAATCAGACTCGGCTTCTGACAAGTGAAGGTAGAGCTAAGCTTATTGACCTGAGAAGACCCCCCCCCTCCCCGAGGGACAAATAGATGCAATATAGAGCTGGGTCAGCTTTGAGAACTTGCAGGAACTACTTTGGAATCCACGCCGAGGGTCGTGGGTTTCCATGATGGTGCTTCCCAGCCGGAGCGCCTCTTGTCTCTGAAACCCTTTGGAGACGTCTTGACCGCTGAGTCCACTGACCGAATATTCGCTTCTTCTAGAGAAGAGGTTGGGAACCAACCTACAGAAGCTGTGTCTTCTGTGCCAAGTCTAGGAGAGCCTGGAGATCTCTAAGTCGAGCCTCCAAGACGTCTCCTGATCTCCGTGACTTAAGTTGGCTTGATGTCCTTCGTGAGAATTTGCAGCAAACACAGCATGTAAAAGCTACCTTTTACAAACAAACTCCAGCCTGGCTTTCCTGAAGTTCTCCAACCGAGCCCATGCTCGGGTAGTGTAGGCTCCAATCCGAATAGGGTACGGTGAAGCCCGGCAGGCATCAAGGCGAAGATCTTTGTTTGACCAGGATGCTGTCGGGTTGGCTGTCATGCTTCTCCCTCCTTCCGTGTCTCAGCGAATGTTCTACCATTCGCCCACCTAAAGGCACTTCCAAACATTTCCTCTGTCTGCAGGGTCGTGCTCCATCCACAAATGCAGGGCCTTTTCTTGGTGATTTTTTTTTTAGCACCTCTTTTCGGCAGGATTCTTTTTCCGCCCATCTGTAAGACCGACCTGGTTTGTAACTACGTCTTCCCGGCACTGCAAAAAGGATGAGTTGACAGGAGCCTGTGAAATGGAACAGACCTTTTCTATTTGGCCGGAGTTGTGTGCCCGTATGTGATTCATGAGCCATCCTGGAAGGTCTGTTTTCCATTGCTCTGGATGCTCCTTGCAAGCTTGCACCCCTGTAGGAAAGAATAATCGAATCCCCCGTTAACTTTGGGGTGACCATATTTCATTTCTCAAAAGGCTCTGCTTTTATTAATCTCTGGCATGAAACAGGAGTGGCATGTCCTGCTCTTTACTTTCCCTGCAGTCTAGGCAGTAAATCGTAATTCCCCTCGCCAGCCTCGCCTTCCCCAATACACAAATAAAACATTAAATGAATAAGACAGGCTTTCTGTCTTAGTTCAAAATCTTCTGTAGTACTCTGAATCGTTTCCCGAGCTTGTCGGGGTGGTTCATTGGCCGGTCCCCAACCAAAAACGCGTTGTATGCTTTTGACTACAACTCCCATTTTCCCCACCAGCATGGGGATAATGGGAGTGCTGTTCTCACAGCCACAGAGAGGGTGCCAAGTTGCGGAACACAGTAAATGGGTCCCTCCCCAGGGAAAGGATGTTCTGGTTGGCTTTCTGTGCTTTGGAAGTTGAAAGCAATTGTGCTTTCTGCTCAGGGAAGTTTTTATCGGGTCTTTTAAACATCTCGTACGCTGCCTAAACGATTATCTAATGCCTACGTGTTTAGATCAGTCTTCGCCTTTCAGCTGTTTTTATTCTTCGACATGAGCTTCTCTGCTGTGTCTGTGCTTCTACTGTTCTTTAGTGGCATCGGGAAACCCCTTTCTTTGGAGCAGCCTTGAACATTTTGTTACAAGGCGGCGCAGAAATACTGCAAATAAAATAAAATAATACAGATTGAAGCACCGAGGTCTTCAGCTAATGTTCGGCTGGTTCATAGCAGAAGCCTCTTGTTCTGGTGCATCAGGCGTATCCTGCAACCTTCTAAATGAAGTGGGTCAAAAGCGTCACTGGGGGTGTATTGATTTTTTTAGCAGTTAAGATTTAGATAGAACTGGTCCTCGGATTTTAATGTCCCCAGGTATGATTTTTGTGCAACACAATGACTTTTGTTCGCCCATATTCTTTCAAGCAACCTGGGGGAGAGTTTGGGGAAAGGAAGAAACTCATTAGTACTTCCAGTAGCAAACTCTTAGTGAGGATACAGAACATATTACTGGCTGGTTTATAGGGAATGAGCTAGTGCACATAGACCGTTTAGCCAGGGTTTATTCTCCCTATTCACAAGTAAATCATAAATCACTTGCTTACTGTGATGTCTGACCCTAAATTCTGGGCTTTGGGACCTCAAACAAAGTGGGGTTTGCAAGTGAACAAAACCTGGTTTGTTGCTGGCATGTAATCATAGCTTGTTTTGGAGTGCGACACCAAGTGACTGTGGCTAGATTTAATACAAAAATGACTCCTTTCTTGTTTGTTTACCAGGAA